TACAAAAAAACATCTCCAATATAGAAATTTGGCTTAATAAATTCTATCTTAAATTACATATCTACTATTAGCAATCTATTTTCTATTTCTCTTAAAAATTCTACTATTAATTCACAAAATCTGTAATTTTAGGCACCATAAGTACATTTTTTGTATTAAATATCCAAGTGAGTCAATTTAGTGACTCACACGATGGTGTTAATAGCTTTGTGGAGATTATTGCATGTAGCGGAAAGAATTTCTTCCTTTCGATTAGATTCTTGAGCTCTTGGTAGCAAACTAAACAATATTAGCTTACAAGATAGTACAATGTGTTATAGTAGATGGAATTGTCATACTCAACGATGTCAATGGTCCTCATAGATTGAATATAAAGAATGATTAGAAGGTGTTCAAGACCACATATGATCTTATATAAACAATAATTCTTAGAAGAGCTTGGTAGTCATAGTAGTGGTTAAATATCAATCTATGTAATATAATGCAATTTGATTATTTAATTACATATAATTTAGATTCAACAATCAATAGTACATTTGCCAAGTTGTAGCAATACTCAAGTGTCCATTATTAGATATTGTAATCCTTCAAAGACTCTTAAAGTCTAGTATATACATGGACTAATTGGTGGAATTATAGGTAATTAATTCATAGTGCAACATGAAGTATTGCCATTGTACATTAGCAATATAATAATTTGTAAGGATGTTGCATTTCTACTGGTGTTTAATATAACTAAATCAATTGTTCTGCACTCAATTATAGCTATTATGGCTTTAGGCTACCAAACAACAAAAGAATATAATTAGGTTGGGCGACCAAAGTGAAGGTTGAACTTGCAATATTAGTGTGGATTATTGGCCTTATTCAAAGCTCAAATCTATTCATTCAAGATTTCTTCTTCCATTGCCAATAATTGCTATATCTTAGTAATGAGCTTTCAATTGGATGAATTAATATTGATAAAATTATATTGATATTGGATGAATTAGGACGAAGTAGATGATAGTTGAGAGTAGATAAAAAATCTATTAAGATAATTTTTCATTCCCAGATGAAAAATTATTCTTGAATGAAGATTAATTATTAAATTAAAAAAATTATAAAATTAAAATTATAAAATACCTTGATATATATAAGTATTAGAATTATTTGATTTGATATGTTATATTATTATGAATTATTTTAAAGATTAATAAGGTTGATTTAAAGAACCAAAAGGAGCTTTAAAAGAAATTTTTGAATAATAATTCTATATAATTCAAATCTACAGAATTAAATTATTGTGAATTAGAATAATCTATTAATTAATAGTGGATTATTTTAGTTTCTACTAAGGATTTACATAAATTCTTGATTTGTCTAACTTTCTTGTTATTTTAATCTATATAGATAATTTCCAATATCTCTTTATTCACCTTTATCTAAAACCTCTTAAAAATAATTCCAATAGTATATATGAACATATATCTTCTTTTTTTGATAATATATTAAAATAAAAATTTACACCCATATCATCTTTTAAATCAATTATATCTTCTTCATTAAAAAAAATTGGAATTAGAGGGCTAGTGAGGATTTTTAAGATTTGCAACAATCTATTAATTGGATTGAAGTAAAATTTAGCATATTAGTATCAAATTTGATTTCTAAAATTTAAAATTTTGAAAAGCAAGTAAATGGTAAAAACAAGAAATATTAACATTAGAAGATCTGCATCAAGGTTGAAAAAGGAGTTCAATTGACATCTGAGCAGATTATGTGGTTTTTCTACCATTTGATAAATTTGACCCTCTTTAAATTTTTTATGCTTGTTTTCAACTAAAAAATTAAAAAGTGTAAAAATTTTGAGTCTAGAACAATAATTAAATTATTAATTATTGAGATTTTGAATTTATTTTAGGATTTGATTAAAATTTGGTTAGGATTGCTTAAAATTTTATTAGAATTTATTAATATTTTTTAGGATTTCAAGTTATTTGGATCAACTTATAAGTTGAATTATAGAAGTTTTAACTTATTTACTATTAAAAAAATAAATTGATTCAAAACCATATCAATTTTAATTACTATCAATGAAGATTTATCTTGTATTTTATATGTCTTTTATCAAGTATTATACAATAATGAACATATTAGAGAGAAAGAACTTACTACCAGCTCGTGTTGAAATAGATAACAAGTAAAAGTTGAAAGTGGAAGAGGTCTTGGATTCAAGGCACCTCCAAAAGAAATTGAAATATTTCATTCATTAGCATGTATATGATATTTTTGAATGCACATAGAAGCTATGTGAGAATCTAGCAAATATGTTAGAACTTATATCTTTTTTTTATAAATACCATCCATCAAATTAAAGGACTAAATATTAATAACAAGATGATATATATAAAAGAAAAATAAGTTCAATAGTCAATTTGTAGAATTCTTTTACATACATGGAGAATTAAAAATATTAAATTTATTTTAAGCATTGTCATTTAAAAAATTACTTAAAAAAATACTTAGATTGTGTTAACTTAGACAATATTACAATTGTCATTAAGATCCTTAAGAGAGACATATTCTTCTTTAAATAGATGATAAGATATATTGCATTTGATATCACAATATTAGAAGAGACTATTGATGCTTATTCATATTGTTAGAGGTGGATACTATACTTGATAAAATATAGAATGTTTTGTTTGCAGGTAGCTAGAGAAATATAAATAATAATGAAATATCTTAGTGAGCTTTTTGTCTTGATATAGAATATTATCAACGGTTAAAATAATCTATCAATAATCTTTATACAAAATAAAGATTAAAATTTGTTGCTGATACTATTTGACTAATATTGAATTTCAACAACTTATGAAGCAATGACATAGGCCATTGTAGAACTTGTTACTTAAAAAAAAAAGATGATGTAACAAATAGCCCTATTTACCAGTATGTTTTTTTGGATAAATAGAACTAGGTAGAAGAAAGTATATATAGGTTAAATTATTAATATCTTATTGGAAAACTTCCCAAAAATCTTTTAGATTTTACATTGCCACATAGTTCTTTAGTAAATAGTTTACATAGAAACAAAAATGACATCTTTTTTACTTTTATAAAGGACTTTCTTATATTCTATCTTACTTCAAGAATTCTAGTGCTTTTGCAATTGGCAATTGCTATTCTAGTTTCAATATTTGTATCTATCTATTAGTTGTCTACTTTCTCTCTTTTGGTGATAAAAAAATATATTATTATTTTTAAAATTTTATTGTAATTCATATCTTTGACAATGTCATTTGCTATTTTTCTTCCAATAATGTCAAATACGATTTAAAGTGTGCAATAAGTTAGAATTAAGATATCTTATGTAGAATTCTTTTATGTTATAAATATAATTATTTCAAATTATATTAATTGAATTAAAAAAAAAACTTTCAAAAGAAAATCAACCAAAGTTAATTTTAGCCAAAAATTAAATAATACTTTATTAACATTAATACTTTAAAAATAAATATAATAGAATAAATTTTTTTAATTCTAATTTAAATTTATATATATACACATACACATAGAATAAGCTTCAAAGCACAAAATTCAATAAAGTTAATAAAATTAAAAAAAAATTCTATGATATGTATAATCATTATATTTATTTGCCACCATTAATCAACCTATACTACTTCAAAAATGGATTAATAAAATAATTATATATATATATATATATATATATATATATTCACATACATACATACATATATCAAACTCATAATTTTAAGATAAAATATACTAAAAATTTCATGAAAATATTAAATCATTCACAAAACATAAATACATAAAGTTTAGCATTTCATACACGTCTATTTGTTGTTTAATGACATTCCAAAGACGTTTACCCAGAATAATAAAAAAAATAATAAAAATGTGCTTAATCATATTTTCCAATGCGGCGTTTGTTTCTGGACCATCACAATTGCCGTCTCTCTTCGACTCCTCAGTCTGGATATGATTCAAGCACTTACGACCTTGTGTCCGCCGCGTCTGTGTTTCTTTCTCAGCTATGAACGATCATGCATTGTTTGTACGAGTTTCCAGCTGAGCATGTTTGTGACCCCAAATCCACCCAATGCTCACTTGATCGTACTGAATACTTTTTTATTTTCTGGTCGGTTTTAGTATTGGTGCAAGTGATGTTTGCTTCAATTCGTTGCTTTGCATCGCTTTGCTAACGGTTTGCTTCCAAGTCAGAAATTCGAAGCCATGGCCACTCTTGCTGTGACTCCACCATGGTCAGTCGTTATTTTCTTCGTCATCATGACGCCCACTGTCGCTTTACATGACTGAATCGAGAAGTCGAAGGTGACGCTGTCGCTGAATTAAACGCAGGAGTGGATTTGGTTGTCTTGTCAAAGAATTTGAAAGAATTGCCCCTAGTAGAGAAGCATCCGTAGAACTTCCACGAGTTTGGAGTAGATTCATTGCAACCACGCAGTTACTGTGATTGTGGTCAAGAGGTAATTGTGTGTTGCTCTTTGTAGACGAGAAATCAGCTGAGCATCGGAAGTCATCGTTGCAATTCAGATTATCACATTTGAGCTCCATGGCTTCGGCCAAAACCATTCTCGATAATTCAGACTACTCCAAGACCATCTGGAAGACTAGGTTTAGGATTTTCTCCTGCTTAGTACGAATCATCTGTAACAAAATCATGTTGCCTCACAACTGGTGAAAAAGTGATCATGGATACATTTGGGCAACGTGGCGAAGCCATAAATTATGTCACTCAGGAATCGCAAGTTTGGTTCTAGCCGCAATCTCATGCATCGTTAGCGGCTCCTCAGTGACGCTGAAATACAATGTAAACGACTTTCAATTCGCAAAGAATTGCGTTAGACCTCGAAAACGATCAATGCGCATTGGAATGATTCCTGCTGGTGTCCGAAATCAATCACAGATGCTCAAATCTTAAGGAGAAGAACATAATCAGCTTGAAATCTACTCCTGGTGGAGATAGAGCTATATCGTCTTTGTGGATAAGGCTGCTTGTGTTAGGTTGTCCACGAAGACCACCATCTTCAAACTCCAATTATCGTCATTCTCTTCACATGATTCGAGTACAATCCTCAATTTGCCGAAAGTCTGTACCTTCCGCGGAATCTAGTTCTTAGGTGGGTACTAGTTCTACAGCAAAGATTCTGTGTGTAATTGTGAAGTTTATTTGTTTCTTCTGGAATCGCGCAGTTTTCATTTCAATGTTGTTTGAAGAATACCGATATTGGTTGGGTTGTGTGCATTAAGCGGCAGCAGATTGCCTCTACAGTTGCAATTCCATCTCTTGGTCGAGTGGATTGTCGCTTCTGTGAAATGCGAGAGTAACTGACAACGGGATTTGTCGTCAAGCTTCAAACATCGGGTTTGGGAATGGCGACCACTGTGATGCAAGCAGTTGTTTTGCCAGCTTGGGGCACTCTAAGGGCAGGGGTTTCGAATGACAATGACTCCTGCGGGAACACTCGAAGTTTATATGTCATTGCTACTGATTCGCCGTCTGCTTTGAGGTTAAGAAATGTATCTCTGTGTAATTCTAAAGTCATTACAAAATGTATTGTCCGTCGCGACGTAACCAGCAATATCTACGGGGATAAGAAACAAGGTAGTAGGCTATTTAGTAGGAAGAATTCATACTCCAGTGGCGCTGAAGGGGCGGCATACGTTGTGAAGGAAGTGACCGATGAGGACTTGGAAAAGCAAGTAGACCCAGCGGATATTCGCGTTCTTGCTGCGATAAGAAGTAGGTGAGCAAGAAAGCCTATTCACTGTCGTGTTTTTGTGCAGTTGCAACTATGAACTTCAAACGCACTTTTTATGTCATATACCTTCGACCTGTAATCACGAAATGCTCTTGTTAGTGTTTTTTTCGAATAGGCTTCCCTACTTCCCAATCATGAAAAATCGTACTGCTTTGAATTGCAATGTAAGGATGACTTATTTTACTTGGGGATTTTTAGGGGTTTATTCATATGGTATGCTTTATTCATCATGCGAAGAGAGACTCCGTGATCTATACAAGGTCTCTTGCTTGAATGAAATAGCGTCTCTTCTTGGTGAGGATTTAATTTGTGCACGTTCCTTTTTATTAGGTATAACTACATATCTGTAATGGAGGTAGACCGGGAAGCCGATCATCTGCTTGCAGGGGCGCGCATACTCCTCTTGGACAATCCTGGTTGCATACACACAGTGTACTACGAACACAATGTGCTCACAAACTCATACTACGACGTATTGGCAACTGTCGCACCCCTTATTCCAGACGGCCCCGTAGGAATCCTTGGCCTTGGAGCCGGCGCTACTGCCCACATTCTGCATCACTTCTTCCCCACCTTGGAAATGCATGGTTGGGAACTTGACCCGGACATCATAACCATTGCGCGCCAGTTTTTCAATCTGTCTCAACTGGAGGGATCGACCGAGGCTGAAATTGACGGGTCCTCCACAGCAGCAGCTGTAAAGAAACCCGGTTTCATAGATCAAGAGATTGCGACCAATGAGAAACCTCAGACAGGTTTAGGAAAGTTGGCTGTGCACATTGGAGACGCTGTGGGTCCTGAGGTATCTGTAGAAGGTGGGTTTGCAAGCTTGATTGTTGATCTGTTTGCAGAAGGACGCGTCATTCCTGCTCTTCAGGATCCCCAAACCTGGGAGAAACTCAAAGCTACATTGCGACCTGGAGGTAATTCTTTCGCACTCTGCACACACCTTTAAACTCTTCAAAACCTCGTCCCGTTTCTTCAAAATCCCTCCTAACGTCTCTTTCTTTATTTGAAGAGTAGTTGTTTCCTTCCAATCTGGAACAAACGTATACTCGAGACAACAGATCCCAAGTATAACTTCCATGAGTCTTTGCTTAAATAGATTAGTTCCAATTCTTCTGAACATACATGGGTGGATGACTGGGATCTCATCTCTGAGGCTGCAAATTGTCATATTTATTTTGAGAACCTGCAGGGAGAATCATAGTTAATTGTGGCGGTGATCGACTAATACCTGGACAAGAGAGCAAGAGCCCCGGCCAGCTTTACATGGAAGAGACTATCGCTGCCATGGGGAAAGTGTTTCCAGGTGAATTGTCGACACGGTATCTGGCTAGAAAAGGGTTTAACACCGTAGCTATCACAGGGCCCTCTCCAGACACAGCGTCCTGGCTTCAAGCTCTTCCTGAACCATTGCGAGACGGTGTTACTGAATGGAAGCCTGTGTCTTGAGAGGGTTTAGGGTTTAAGGTTACCATCTTTGTCCTGTTAACTTGACATAAAACATGTTATCTTTCTTCATTTTCTGGAGTTCTGATCAGTTATCTTGACATGAACTTCATTAACTTTATTCTTTTTATTGAGAGTTTTGCTTCTATAATTTTAGAGCACTGAAAAGGTTCTAGGTTAACTATTTATTAACCAGTATTGTGTTGTATTTTCTTACTCTTGCATTGGTAAGACTGAATGTAATACGTGTACAAATACGTGTAATACGTGTAATACGTGTAATATAGTTTGCCATCTGTAATTTTTATAAGAAAATAAAATAAATATTAGCATAAAAAAGCATCATAATAATTAAGCAGAAAAACTGAAACTCCTGTAACGGTTTCAAATTTTTATTGAGTGGTGTTTCAAAAGAATTTTATTACTTCACTATTCATATTAATTATATAATGAGTTTTTTAAGTAAAAACCTGTATCAAAATTGAAAATTTTGAATATGTTCACCAAAGTTGAATTTGTGAGATTGGTTTGTAGACACAACATTGGTGTTATTTCAAGAAATGTGTTTACAAGATAGAGAAATCCTATTGAGAAAATGGGACGGAGTGAAAGAAAGGTATGAAAATTGAAAAGTTAGTGCAAAAAACTTAAAAAATTGAAGAGGACTGCTTGAAATCAAAAAATTAACATATATATATATATATATATATATATAAGTTCCTGCAAACAAATGTGGTCAAAATGTTAAATAAGAATTGTGATAATAATAACCAATCAGGAGTTGAAAGGGGCTTTGAAGGTCATGAAGTAGCATACATATTATAAAGCCTTGAACATGTGATCTCCATCAAGTTGGATCAGAAGCATGGTTGCATTTATCAAGAGTATTATTCCTTCTCCTCACTAATTTCTTACATTGTAGATCAATTTTTATTATTAACGTGAAAACAAGGTGACAATAAAAATATGTTTAAAAATGAACATAAATAATAAATAAATAAATTACAAAATATGTTATTTATACACATGTATATATATCTATATATGCACTTCCAACAGTCACATAATAACAAAACATCCACATGAAACAATAGTTGATTACTTGAAAAATTCTTTGAGCACATGGTAGAAGTGTGAGTGTAATTGAACAGCCAGCGTTTATAAAAAGAAAAACTATGCATGAGGGTTTGGATGCCGAGAATGCGCGTTGTAGTTTTTATTTATTTATTATTATTACTTGTTTTTATACTTATGCTTTATTGTGGTCGGTAGCTGTCACCACGTGAACTGTCGGTGGAATTTGTGAGGTGACGTATCAGAATGAGCAGAACTGTTAGCCACGTGCAAATCGCTACATCATCGTCGACGTCTTCCTGAAACAATCTTTGGAATCTTACAAGATAAAAAAGATCCATGGTTCATGGAAGATCCCGAAGAACAGACTTGCATTACGAAAGACAAGTTAGTTGACACAGACTTGATTCGTCTTCGGCTAGTTTAAGAAACCCCTGAAATGACCGTGATTTCTTTTTGGCAATTTTGTGCGACTCTCAAAACAAGATTGAAGGAAGCTGCAAACTTCTATACTTGGAAGAATAAGGGAACCAGTCTAAATAAAGTCGCTCCTTAGATCTCACTACTCCACAGGTCCTTTTGAGAGCTGATCTGCTTACCATCTAGTCTTCAACACACAAAGGATGGCATGCTTCACTTGATTCGAGCTGGATGCTAAGTTATGTATGCATCAGATACAGTTTGTAAGATTCCAAAAGAGCCAATACAAAGTGCTCAAAAACACGCTTCTTATTAACTTCAAGCAAGGACAAATCCAAATTACTTTGATACTTTTATTTCATTATAACTTTCAATTTTTTTTCCAAACAAGTTATAATTCTTGATCTAACCATCCAATTATCAAGGATACAAACTAAAAGAAGATGCATAAACTTGTAGTATCTGTGTCAAAAGAAAAGTGACAAAATAGAAGAAAGTATATATATTCAAGGAAGAACTGGAATGCCTATTGTCAAAGACTAGAAAATATAAGACTCTTGAAACTAGACTAAAAGCAAAAAAAAGAATTAACAAGAGTGAGGAAGGCATTACTTTTGCCTCTATATATACTACTTAACTAAGAAATACATGGCAACATGCTATAGAACCTCTAATACGCATCCAACTTGCAAAATATATGTCTAATTTGCAAGGCAAGTTTCATAGGTGTCTGCCATATGTCCAAATTGTACTACAAGTGGTCAATATGTCGACACGTGGCCTCCTTGTTGGCCAAGTTTTCAACCTATCAATCACCTATAGATATGTATAAAGGCAAAGCAGCATCTATGAAGCTTTTTTATAAGATATTATCATATTTATCTATTTTGACTCACTTCTACCTATTCTTATTATCTAGATATTTATCAAGATAAATATGTATGTCCGTGATATTATCTCTCCTTCTAGAAATGAGTTCCATGAAGAGCGGTGATTATATATTGATGAAGTCCAAAATACACCGAATTATATTTGCTATGTACTCTGATCTTTGTTTCCTTTGAAGGAAGTTGATAAGTCCCTTCAACCATCGATAATGTCCCATACTGGGACAAAAAGACCACCTTGATATTTGATCATTATTGAGGCCTTTATAACTTCTTTCAAACAAAACATTAGTAATACCATCAAGAGTGGTTCCTACCTCCAAAAGTATCACTAAACACCAAGAGTCCCTTCTAAGATCGTGGTACTAAACGCATTATATCTCGCCATCTATTTGAGGAAGAACATGTCATTCTTGAGGATCTTCATCTCAATTTTACCGTCTTCAAGGTTGTGATAGTTGCAATGTCTTGTTTGATAGCTTAGCAAATAATAGCTCTTATATTGAATCTATTGGTTGTTGATGCTCCATCTCTTAAGCAATAAAAAATCCAAAAAAATAATGATACAAGTTAGAATGAAATCTCCATTGGGCTTGGTTTGCTTTATAGTAAAGAATTTTTTGACTTTTCATCTTGGTTTTGATGGATGTTGTTAATGAAATGCTTTAATTTTGGCTGATGCATTTGCTAGATTCTTGAATGGCTCCCATGTACATTCATTAATATCATATCTATGCTAATATATCAAATATTCTAACCTATTTTGATGTTGCCTTGAATCTAAGACTTCTTCCATCTCAAATTCTTTATTATTGTCTATTTCTATAGAAGGTAGTGGCATTTGTCTCATTTCTTGTATATCCATTGTCTTGTATGACTCAAGTAAAGATACATAGAAAAGAAGTTAGTTTTTCATAGACTCCGGTAGATGTAATTGATAAGCAATTGGATTGATCTATTCACAAATGGAAAATAGATCAAGCCTACGATAATCACAAGAAAAAATAGTTTTAATATTACAATGAAATAACTATACCTTATTTCTCACATGAAATTGAAGTTGTTTCTTGCAATAGACATCTCTGTTGGCTTTTTGTTATTCTTGAGCTTCCTTTAATTGTGTCTTTATCATTGCATGTAGCTTTAACAATCAATTTGCTACATCTTCTATCATAGGATTATCAACTTTTAAAAAGTCAAAAGTGTCCAATCATGGATAATAATTGTAATTGGAAAAGAAAGGTATTTGTTGAGTGGAAGAATGTATCAAATTATTATAAGCAAACTCTACCAATGGCAAAAGAGTTATCCAATTATTTTGTTGATAATTGATGATACATTACAAATACTACTTTAAAACTTGATTTATCCATTCTATTTGTCTATCAGTTTAAAGATGGAAAATTGAAGATAGTTTTATATCCACCTTCTATATCTTAAAAAGAGATCAATAAAAATTGTATTCCTCTATTTGATATAATATCCCTCAACAATCCATGATAGCAATAGATGTTGTCAAAGAAGAGTTTAGTTGTTCTTTCACTTGTGATAGATTTTTTATATAGTACAAAATGTGCCATCTTGGTGAAACAATCTACAATCATAAATATGAAATCATATGAACTTGAAATTGGAAGATCCGTGATAAAATCTATAGATAAAGAAGACCATAGTTGTTCTAGTATAGGTAATGGTTGAAAGAGTCCATAAGGTTGATGACGAGGAGTTTTTGATCTTGAATAAACATCACATGTTTGTACAAATTCTTTAACAGCCTTCTACATTTGAGGCCACTAAAAATCTTTAGATATAAGCTCCAAAGTCTTATTATATCTAAAAAGTCCTGCTACATGGAAATCGTGATAAGTTTTAAAAGCACGTAATTATGCTTCTCCTTCTTGAATATATAAGTGTCCTTTGAAATAGAGTAGGTTCTCCTTAAACTCAAACTTAGAAGTATCTTGAGACTTAGAAGAATTATTTTTAATATCATGAACAAGAAAATTTGAGGACATTCTTGCTTAGATCTACTTAAAAAAAGTCAAATCAATAGTCAATATTAATTTCATTGCTCAAAAACGAAATTATTCTAGCGTCAATAAAATTATCTTTTGTTGGTCAAAAGCTGCTTCTCTTTCTTTTGGTATAAGATAAGAATGTCTAGAAATGGCATCAAACAAACCTTATTATTTTCTTAGCTGATAAGTGATATTAAACTTGAATCTTGACAAAGACATGCTCCAATGAGCTTGGCGATGATTCAAAATACATACTTACATGAAATACTTAAGATTCTTGTGATTTGTATATATGATGACTAGACTTAAAGCACCTTCTAAATAACAATGTCATTTTTGAAAAAAAATCCATGATTGCAAGAAGTTCTTTATCATAGATCTCATAATTAATCTTCGTTGCTCAAAATTTTCTTGGATGAAAAGCTATTGGATGAAGTTTGTCATCTATTCCTATTTGTGACCAAAGTGCATTTAAGGCAAAGTTAGATACATCTTTTTTTATAAAAAAATACTTTAAAAAAGTTGAAGCGATGCAAGATTGATGCAAAAGTAAAAGCTTTTTTCAAAGCTTAAAATGATGCTTCTGCTTCTTTACTCCACTTTAGCTTGAATTTACAAGTTAAGCATGTAAGTGGCACTGTCAAACTAAAGAGAGTTTGCGTCAATAAAGCAATAGGCTCTTGGCTGCCACTAATTACTCAATTAAGTCATGAGATAAGAAAGACCAAGTTTGTATATATATATATATATATATATAGATATATATATCACTTTTAGGTGCTATTATATCAAATATATAAGTCTTAAAT